TTTACAACGCCATGAATGGCGACCGAGCGAGACGAAGTCTTTATCACAAAACGAACAGACGACGCAAGTCAATAGCATGGCAATAAAACTTGAACGAATCATGATGATGATCTTTTTTATGATTATAAATTTTAACAATTAGTAAGAAATACTGTGATTCAAATACAAAACCAGCGATAAAACTATGACATGTACAGAGCACGTCTGAACACGGCTCCGCTCGATGTATATAATAACAATAACAATAACAATAATAATAATAATAATAATAATAATAATAATAATATAATAATAATAATAATAATAATAATAATAATAATAATAATAATAATAATAATAATAATAATAATAATAATAATAATAATAATAATAATAATTATAATAATTATAATAATTATAATAATAATGGAAACTTTATTTATTTCATAATAAACCATAAAACTATATTTACATTGATAAACCTCGCTCATAAAGGTAGTTTATCGATGACTACTCGAAAAATATTTGGATTATATAAATTTACAAAGAGAGGGAATTTAATATTGTTCAAAATTTTAGAAGCTCTGGGCTAGTCCAGTCTTTGTTTCACTGACAGAATACACACTATGATGTGCGAATACAAATAGCATTGATTTTCTTTTTAATGTATTTAATTTGTTGTTCATCGAACTTCAGTTCCTTGAGCATATCAGTTAGGCGTTCATATCAGCATGTTGTTGGTCAGTGTCAGCTCTAGTACGTAGACGATTACGCAATTTTTTAGCAACAAATTTGATTTCCATTAGATTGCCATTGTCAGACTTTAATTTCTTTAAGACTTTTCTTAGATCTTTAGCTGAAGCTGATTTATATTTCGACTCAAATACTTTATTATTGTTGATATCAACAAACCCATAATTTTCACTGAAGTAATTGTATATTACTGTTATCTTGGTATTGATGTATTTGCTGATTTCTTGCGTTGTAAATGGCTGGTTTGAAAGAGTGAATTGAAAAAAGTCGTTAGTATTTGCCAACTGTATAGGAGATTTAGGATTTTATTCCTTTCTTCAAATCAAGGTAGCTTTCTTGAGAATTTAAACTCGAAATTATGTCCTCTACTGATTGAACGCTGTCCTCGCATACTTGGTTATTTAAAGCGTCTGTCATTTGCTGTTGTAATTCCTCCTCCATGCCATAAATTAGACAATTACTCTGTAACTACGCTGATGCATTTTTAAACCCCGAGTGCCTTTACACACTTTGCCACAACAGCATTTAAGAACTTTATACGAATTTGGTGGAAAACATTCTTTAGAGCGAATTTCAGCAGCAGGGACTACATTTTCTTTGGGCAGTTGGTTGAAATCGATTATATCTTTACAACGCCACGTATGACTACCCAATGAAACAAATTCCTTTTCACAAAATCCACATAACATTGGGGTTGAAAATAGTGCAATCAAGCTTGCGCGATCATATTTGATTAAATAAATGAACAAAAGTCAAATTGTATAAAAATGTTTTCAATTCAAGTAGAATTTTTCACTAAAACAGAATACAATAATAATAATAATAATAATAATAATAATAATAATAATAATAATAATAATAATAATAATAATAATAATAATAATAATAATAATAATAATAATAATAATAATAATAATAATTTTATAAAATAATCCTACTACATTAATAACTAATTACTAGTATATACAAGGAAGTGAGTCTAAATTGTTGTGGTATGTTATTAGTATATGTTATAGTAAGAATTTATGGTAAAAGTCTAAGCCTAAATTTTGGCACGA